TCTTATCTACATTAATAATTTTCCTGACAACCGTACATTCAAAGTAGGGCTGTACCGAATTTTGGCTCCGGCTCCTGCTCCGGCTGAAATCCGGCCTTTTTTTACAAATCCGGCTTAGGCAAAATGTTAGCAAATCCGGCTTAAATTTGGCCGGATTTCTGAATTTTGATAGGATAGGTATTACATCTAATATTTTATTTTTACAAATCAATGTTTTTAGTAATTCTATTTTGTTTTATTTTTACAAATCAATGTTTTTATTATATGTATTTACATTTCTTTACAATTTAATCAGCTAAGCCTATAGTCTATTTTCAAACAACAACGCAACAAAAAATTCTGAAGGGAAGACACACGATATTCTGCAATAATGCAGGTGTAAAGACTATGAATTCAATCCTAATTAAGTCATTGGATAAACGTTTTAAAGGCATTAAGGAGAAACCTTTTTATATAGTGGTAACACTGGCTGATCCATAATTTCAAACAAAACTCTTCTCATTACAGGCGACACTGACAGGTGAAAAAGCAAGATCGAAGTCAATCTGACCATGGTGAGCAGCAGATTGACAAAACTAAAGAAAATCCAGCAAAACAAACCCGCCTGGATAATTCTTATACATTGTCATTATTACAATGGCAATATATATAGATGAAATTATTCAGCCTACGCCCGCTTGTGGCACAGCACATGAACAACAATTACCAACAGGCATTGACACTCAGCTACCCAGCTAAAAATTAACGCTCTAAGAACGTTACCAAAACCTTCGTTTAGGTTTGAATAACATACGCTCCAAACGTTCTTTGAACCAACTTTTGTGAACTTCGATTTACAGTTCTTAAACGTTCGCTGTGAACGTTCAAACAACAAACAACGAACGTTAATCTAACGTTCGCTGCAAACGATACTTTGATAGCTCTTGAACGTCCACCCCAGCTAAAAGTTAACGTACACTGCAAAACGTTATTCGAACAAATTTTTTTGAACTCCAATTTAAAGTTCTTGAATGTTCGCTAAACGTTCAAATAACAAACAGCAATCGTTTGCTTGAAACTTTACTTTGATAGCTCTTAAATGTCCACCTTAAACGTGTTATTACGAACATGGATGTTTACCCAACTTTTTTTTTTTCTTTTCAATGTATAGATTTAAACATACTTTTTTTTTAAACATACGTTTGCTAGTATTTGTAATGTAATGCTTTTTTGAATTTACAAAACCTATTTTTACTTAATAAATACAAATTCACCATGTTTTATAGCTGAACTACACCATATAAAGCTTATATAAAAACCCACGATTTAACTATTACATTTACGATTTAATATAAATTTCGACCAAAGGCACACAATTAGCTGAGCTGATTACAATTAAGAAAAATAACACTTCTTGCAATGAAAAAGTTGATTTATTAGTACTAGTTAGCGCCCTATAGGACATAAATAACAATTTACATCAATTTAAACTAAATTTTTACAAAACAACATCAACAACTTAAAAAATAAAAACATGTTATTCTAGGGGAAAGTCCAGCTAATTCCACAAAAAACATTAAAACATGCATGTCGTATGTAAAATACCAAACCTTACAATACATCATAATAAATAAAAACAATTCCTAATTAAAAACAAATGCTTTTTGTGGATTTGATAAACAAACTATTTTATTTATGAACTATCTATACACTAAGAATGACATTAGTTCACAATAATGTGTTTTAGGAATAGCATAATTAACTTTACTTTTTAACGATTCCCTATTATTTTGAAAAAAAATAATTCAAAAGTATCATGTTGGATCTTCAAAGTAGTGAAATTGTATCAAAATTTCAATTAAATAATCATTTAATAATACAACTATTCTTTTAGATTTAATTAAATATAATATTAATTAACATATATATATTTTTTAAAGCAAATATTATTGTTGAAATTTATATATTATTTTTGCTGCATTATTTTGAGAACAAGGTTGACCTACTTTAAAAGAACTTTTTTTTTAATATAAGGACACCGTTGAAATGTTAAGTTAATTAAGCTGTTACCTAACATTGGAATAATGCTTTGAAATTTGAAGAAATTATTTTTTTCTCAATTAACAACTTTTAAGCATCTAGCCACTTAACAATTAAAAAAAAGCTTTTTGATCTGGTCATATAACATATAACATAACTAGCCCGTACTGTCAGAACTTCCTTTAAAATGTGGCTGCAATAGAAAACAACAGTCACTTGGTATTCTGAATAGTGAACATTGTTGACCATTTTCAGCACCAAATAGGGATGTACAGGATTTTGGCTCTAGTAGTTTTTTTTTAAATCTGGCTCCGGCTTCGATTCCGGCCTATTTTCTTGTTCACACACAAGGAGTTGAGAGGACTGTTAAAGAGGTAAAATTATTTTTCATTTTCTTTAATAATATGCTAATCAACAAAAATAACTTTTAATAAAAGTTGTTTTTTTAAGTAACTGCAGCTCTAAAACAGTCAATGGTTTTGAGACAGATTTATTTTGAGAGATAGATTTATTATTACTTTAATTAGAATAAATTATAAAGATAGAAATGACTTTTAATTAATTATAAAAATATAATTAATTAAAAAATAATAAAGAAACGAAATGACATGCATTTTTGATGGGTTTTTTATAACCTTTATGTTGTAAAAAAATCATGTATATTTAGGAGAAAAAAGAGTGTGCATCACTCGAAATGTTTTCAAACGATTCTACATTTACTTTAATGAAAAAACATTAAAACAATATTGAAAAAAAATGTTTTTTTATCGCCTATATATATTAGATATATTGATTTGGTACCTCATTTCAGTTAAATTTTGAAAAATTAAGTTGTATTTTTTGAAAATGTTACTTCAATTCTGCAGGCCTTGTTTTAAAGCGTTACGCCTAGAGCGATTTACGTACGCCTTAAGCGATTTTTACGTACACGCAGAGCTGTTTTGGTTAAGCTACTTTTTATCATTTTTTAACTTTTAAATTAGCGGTAACATAAAAGAAGTAATTAATTTTTAAAAAAACCACATTAACTTTTAAATAACGATATGTAAAGATATTTATTTAAAAAAAAAATTTACTTTAAAAATAATTGTTGTAACTTTTCATCGCGATATATCTTTCCTTTTTATAGCAATTAATTTGACGCTAAACTTTATCCAAATATTTAGCAACATGAAAAATTGTTTGTCAATCCTTAACTACAAATTTTTTGCAATGTTTTTAATAAAAAGTAGTAATTTTTTAATTTTTCAGTAAAAAAACTTTTAAAAAATCTATATTCCATATTTATTAATACAGAATATAAAAGTATTTTGTAATATAGATTTTTTATGAATATTTTACTGAATTTATAATAAAAAACATTTGCAAAAAAATTTGTAATTAAGAATTGACATTTTTTTTAATATCTCAAAAAATGTCTTAATATTTTTGTTATCATGATAACAAAAATGTCAAGACATTTTTTCGAGATATTAAAAGAAATGTCTTTGCTTTTCTTATTAGTTAAAGGTATATAGATACCTTTACCTTTAAATTATGCGGGAGGAGGGGGTCGGCACAGAAAAAAAAATTACCTGTTACTCGCAATATTTGAATGAAGACAATTTGTTAAATTTCTTCTGTGTGCAATTCAATAAGTTTTTTTTTTTCATAAATCAAGTTATATTATAAGGTAAAGAAATCATGAGTAGACTACAACATCCGCTGATGACACTAACATTACGTTGAATATATTTAGATAACGAAGGTTTTATTATGCACGCGCACATTACAGGTTCTGTTAAATAAATACTAAGGCACGTTTTAGTTTAATAACAGTCTCCATTTTTTACTAATGAATATGTATTTTTCTTTATAAAACAAAACAAACTAAAATATAAAAACCTTGTATATTTCTATTATCTCTAAATTGTTTAAAGTTCGTATATGGATTGTATTTGAAGGACAAAAGATTTACTTTAAAAACTTTTAAATCTAGGGACTTTGCCAATGCTTTGCCGATGCGATGATCACAGAAAAAGAGAAGACTTACGTTATTAAAATCAAATGTAAGTTATGTAATCTTCATTAAAATAAAATATTATCCAAAAACAATGGTGCTGTAAGGGCAACTGCCTAACGGTTTATAAATAACACAAGTCATGTTAAAATATTTTAACATGTTACTATACTTTAATTAAGTTGATATATAATTAAAAATAAAAATATAGTTCAATAAATAAATTAAATTTATTCTTTACAAAGATTACCTCATATTTATTCTTTTTTTTATTTTATTAAGTTAAATTGCTTACAAACGAAAAAAAAAAAAGAGTTTTGTAATTATACGTAGAATGAAAATACTTTTGAGTTTGTTTATAAGTTAAGGAACTTAATTTTTAATAAACAAATTTTTACGAACGTTTATTATAAACAGATACGATTTATTTTATTAAATATACTTAAATTATTTCAGTTGAGTATTTTTTTAAGTTTGCACAATTAAAGTTTTGCGTAGAAGTATTTGTTTTTTTGTTTTAAGAATAATTAACAAAAGAGTTTGCATAATTAAGACTTTTATATTTAATTTAATTTTTTTTTTTTAATTTCCTAAAATTTAAAAAAAAAAAAAGATTTAATCGTTAAAAACGATTTTTCTCTATAGCTCTGTTTCTTTGTGATTTGTTTAAAAAGTAAAATATTTTTACAATAACATAAAAAATTTATGAATTAAATTTCTGGCGAACGCGTTCTAAACTATGTATCAAAAATATGCTCAAAGCAGACAAAACTTTTTTATATTTTTATAAAATGCAAGTTGAAACGCTAAGCAAGATAAACTTAAAAAATATTTAAAAACCTAAGTTTTTCTTTGCTAGTCAAAACAAAAGCGTTTAGGGCATTAGGGCATCCCATTAATAAAATAAGACATTAAAGAATTTACAAAATAGTTAAGCTTAATAAAAATTCACAAAAACATAAAAAAAATTTAATGAACTAACCTTAAACAGTACACCAAAATAAGTACCACAAAGTCTATCAATAGGGCCTTTATATATAAGCATTCCTGTAATGGTACCAAACTCAGTTATAACTTCAACATTTGTTCCACCTTTTGCAGAAATAGCAAGTCGTAAATTTTCTTGGTTATTAAAAGCTTTTAAACATTTTTCTTTGCTAGAAACAGCAACTAACAAAAAAAATTCATCCTCAGAAATTTCATAAACAGAAGATAAGTTTACTTCTATTTCAGTTTGATCATCAATAGTAATCACTTTTTTTTTATTTTCTTGTTTTCCATATTTTTTTTGTTCTACTAATAATGTGCCTGCTGCGATAAATTGTATTGAATTATTTTTAATATTTGGTAATTTTTCAATAAGAATGTAAAAATGTTTTTCTCCAGTTTCCAAATCCATACAATATAATTATGCCACTAAAAATAAAAATAAAAAGTTTGAATTAAAAAAATGATGATAAACTAAGAATATGATGTTGATGATGATGAT